AGGCTATCTTCTTTTTTTCAATATATGTCTTATGTTCCTTTGTCAAAAAATCAGATGACTCTAGCTGTGTGAGTTTGCATCTGGGTCTTCTATTCTGCTCCTTTGGTCTTCATGTCTGTTCTGGAACCAGTACCATGTTGTTTTTATTGTTATGTCTCTGTAGTATAGTTTGAAGTTAGGTGTTGTGATACCTCCAGCATTGCTCTTTTTGATCAGTATTGCTTTGGCTATTTGAGGACTTTCATGCTTCCAAATGAACTTTAGGATTGATTTTTTTCTATCTCTGTGAGAAATGTCATTGGAATTTTTATGGAGATCGCATTGAACATATAGATTGCTATTGGTTGTATAGTCATTTTCACAATATTAATTCTGTTGATCTGTGGGCATGGGAGATCTTTCCATCTTCTGATGTCTCCTTCAATGTCTTTCTTCAGTGATTCATAGTTTTCATTGTAGAGGTCTTTTATTTCCTTTGTTAAATTTATTCCTAGCTAGTTTTTTGGTTATTGCAAATGGGATTGTTTTCCTAAATTCTTTCTCAGTCTGTTCATTGTTGGTATATAAAAAAGCTACCAATTTTTGTATATTGATTTTGTATATTCCTACTTTGCTGAAGGTGTTTATTATGTCTAAATGCTTTTTGGTGAAGTTTTTAGAGTCTTAGGCATAAGATCATACCATCTGTAAATAGGGATAATTTGACTTCTTTCTTCCCTATTTGAATTCCTTTTATTTCTTCCTCTTGTCTTATTGGTTTTGCTAGAAATTCCAAGACTATATTGAATAAGATTGGGGAGAGTTGAAACTCTTGTCTTGTTCCTGACTTTAGAGGAAATGGTTTCAATGTTATATCAATTAGTATGATGTTGGCTATAGGTTTGTGATATATGTTAAGGTACATTCCTTCTATTCCTAGTTTCTTCAGAGCTTTTATTTGAAAGGATGTTGAATTTTATCAAAGACTTTTTCTGCATCTATGGGGATGATCATGTGATTTTTGTCCTTGCTTCTGTTTATGTGCCATATTGCATTTATTGACTTGTGTATATCGAACCATCCCTGCATTCATGGAATGAAACTGACTTGATCACAGTTATGATCTTTTTGATGTGTGGTTGGATTTGGTTTGTCATTATTTTGTTGAGAATTTTTGTATTTATGCTCATTAAAGGTATTGGCCTAAAACCCTCTTTTTTTGTTGCATCCCTGTCCTGGAATGAGTGTAATACTGGTTTCGCAGAATGAGTATGGTTGTGTTCCTTCCCTTTCTATTTCATGGAAGTTTGAGGGGTGGTGGTACAAGTTCTTCTTTAAAGATCTGGTAGAATTCAGCAATGAATCCACTGGGTCCTGGGATTTTCTTCAGTTTCATTGCTTTTATAGATCTATTTAGATGATTTATATCCTCTTGGTTCAGTTTTGGTTGATCAAATGCATGTATAAATGTATCCATTTCTTATATTTCTTATAGATTTTCCAGTTTATTTGAACATAGGTTTTTGAAGTATTTCCTAATGATTCTCTGGATTTCATTGGTATTTGTTGTGTTATTCCATTTTTCATCTCTAATTTTATTAGTTTGCATCTTTTTCCTCCTTATTCTGGTTTGATTGGCCAAGGGTTTATCAATCTTATTTATTTTTTCAAAGAACCAACTTTTTGTTTCATTGATTCATTGTATAGTGTATCTAGTCTCTATTGCATTGATTTGGGACCTTATTAGTATTATTTTTTATTTCTCTCTTCTACTAATTTTGAGTTTAACTTGCTGTTGTTTTTCTACGAACTTGTGATGCAATATTAGGTCATTTATTTGAGATCTCTCTCTGTTTTTAATGTGCCACTCATAGCTATAATCTTTCCTCTTAGCACTGCCTTTATTGTATCCCATAGGTTCTATCATTTTCATTAGATTTCAGAAAATTTCTTATTTCCCTCCTTCTTTCTTCAGTGGCACACTGGTTATACAACACATGTTTTTCAGTCTCTATGTGGTTGAACATTTTATGTAGTTTCTTTGTTGAGTTCTAGTTTTATTCCATTGTAGTCTGACAGGATACAAGGAGTTATTTTAATTTTCTTGTATTTGTTGAGACTTGCTTTGTATTCTAAATTATCTGTTTTGGAGAAAGCTAAATAGGCTGCTGAGAAAAATGTGCATTATAGTGCTACTGGATCAAATACTCTGTAGATATCTGTTAAGTCTAGTTGGTCTGTGGTGTCATTTAATTCTGAGGTTTCCTTGTTGATTTTCTTTGTCTGCATGACCTATCTGTTGGTGACAGTGGGTATTGAAATATCCACTATCATTGTGTTGGGGTCTATCTGTGCTTTTAAGTCCAGTAGTGTTTGTTTAGTGAAGTTGGGTACACTGACATTGGGCACATATAATTTAACAATTGTTATTTTCTCTTGCTATATTGTTCCTTTTATTAATATGGAGTGATCTTCTTTGTTTCTTCTAATTAACTTAGGTTTGAAGTCTACCTTATCATATATGAATATAACTATTCCTGCCTATTTTAGGGGTCCATTTACTTGGAAAATCTTTTCTCAACCTTTTACCCTAACCCAGTGTTTATTTTTGTCAATAGGATGTGTTTCTTGTAGGTAACAAATTGTCAAATCTTGCTTTTTAATCCAGTTCACTATTCTATGTCTTTTGATGGGAGAATTGAGACCAGTAGCATTTAGTGTTAATACTGAAAGGTATGTGGTAATTTGCCATTTGTTGCTTTTGTGTGTGTATGTGTATGTGATTGATCTTTCCAACTCTTCATTCTCTTATCTGCTCATCTCATGAGATTTATTTATTCCTATATTTATCTGCATTGGCTGTATAAGGTTCCTTTGAGTATCTTCTGGAATGCTGATTTAGTGGCCATAAATAGCTTTATGTTTATCGTGGAAGGTTTTTATTTCTTCTTCAATTATGAATAATATCTTTGCTGGGTAGAGTATCCTGGTTTGAAATTATTTTCTTTCAATACTTGAAATATCTCACTGCATGTCCTTCTTTCTTTTAAGGTTTCTGTTGAGAAATTTGGTGTTGTTCTGATGGGTTTACCTTTATTGATGACTTGATATTTCTCCCTTTCAGCTTTCAAGATTCTTTCCTTGTTCTCTGTACTTAATGTTTTAACCATAATATGTAATGGAGAGGTTCTATTTTGGTTGTATCTATTTGGTGCCCTAGAGGCCTCCTGTGCTTGGGTAGGAATCTCTTTTTTGAAATTTTGGAAGTTTTCTGCTATTACTTTGTTGAATATGTTTCCTATACTTTTGGCTTGCACCACTTTGCCTTCTTCAAATCCCATCATTTATAGGTTTGGTCTTTTAATGGAGTCACAGATTTCTTACATGTTCCTTTCATAATTCCTCATTCTTTTCTCTGTGTATTCATTTATTTTTTCCAACATATCTATTTTGTCTTCAAGTCCTGGATTTCTGTCTTCCAGTGTGCTGGAATGAAGTGGCTTTTGACTGTATTTTTAATTTGACTTAAAGAGATTTGTATTTCCAGAGTTTCCATCTCTTTCTCTCTTTTTTTTTTTTTTTTTTTGCTTGGGCAAAACTCTTAACCTTGTATGACAATGTTTATCATGCCAGAAGGGTAGCAGTTTAAAGCCAGCCTGGGAAAATAGTTTGCAAGACCCTATCTCTAAAAAATCCACCACCTAACAGGGTTGGTGAGTGGCTCAAGGTATAGGCCCAGAGTTTAAAACCCAGTGCCACAATAAAAAAAAAAAAGAAAGAATGACCAATAAAACTCAGGTGATAGCAGTAGTATGGGATAGAGTGGGTCCCTGTCAGCAACCATGTGCTTGTGGAAGATTTACTCTTTTAAAGGCTTATCTCTCTAGCTATGCTCTAACCTTATGTTGGTACCCTCTCTTTTATCAAACTGACCTGACAATCTACCCTTGCAGCCATCAACCTAAATTTGTTTTCAGGTTTGTAAGGACTTGGGAAGTGGTGGCTGTCATTTTGAAAACTCTTATTTTTTAAAAGTCCAAATCAAACTAAAATTCATCAGGTACAGTACCTCTCAGTGAGATACCACTCTCGTGTTTTCCTTTTATTGTTCTTGCCTTAAAATTCTAAACTCAATGGCTGTGTCTTAAATTGTATAAAATATTGGTGTTAAAGAATGATAAAACTTTTTAATGTCACTTAAAGGTTGATCAGTATGTAAAAGGAATATTTTAATAAAAATATTAAAATGTTAGCCATTTGTCAGAGAGTAAATAAGTCTTTATGCTTGTTTGGTAGCCCTTATATTCTTTTACAAAAGTAAAATAATGTCCAGGAGCATAACAGGTAGTTTTGGTGTTTCTGAACCATAAGTTTATTTAACAAGCATACCCTAACAATGAAGCGGAGTTAATGTTCCATTTGTAGATTATCTGACCTCATTTGACACTGTAGAAGGTGACATTCAACTGCGTCTCCAGACAAAATAGAAGATAAATAAGAATCTCTACAGAGCCTCTTTGCTCTACCCACTGTTGCTCTCCCCAGTCTTGTTCTCCAGGAGGTTTGTTCCTAGAGCTGTTGTGTAAAGAAGGAAAGGGACAGTGGGAGGAGTTAAGTGTTAAGCTTCAGAAACCTATGGATATGCATTTAAAGTGACTTCCTGGCTTTTATTTTGTTAGCGCCTTCCTTAAAACGTAAGGACTTCATTGATTTTTAACATAATGTTACTACCATTGGACATATGACCCATCCCACTGTGATCCATAAAATTTAATATTTTCATTATGTCATTCAACACTGAAAGATACTCAAAAGAGCTTTTTAAAAAATAAACCTCAGACTTTGAAAGTGCCCTGAAATCTGTCCTTACACACTTTTGTTTGTGCTATAACATTGTTACATATATCATTCTGTGATTAAATCTCCAGGTTATTCTAAATAACACTTAAATTCTTAAAGGATAATTTATACATATAAATGAATTGTATATATATATTTATTTATTTATATATACACACACACATACATATACAATATACCAATATGACCGTGAAGAAAAGTAAGATACTAGGACAGGAGGCATGGTTCAAGTTGTAGAGTGCTTGAGGCCCTGCGTTCAAACCCCAGTATCACTAATAAAAAGAAGAAAAAGAGTAAAGCAAGAGAATACAATTTTTTTGTCTGCTATTTCATTGGCGTGAAGTATTTAAAAGAATGAGGCACTTTCAAACAAAGTCTTGAGCTTTTCAAAATGTTAAATGAATTTTAAACATGAGGTTACTCTCCCATTACCTATTGCTGATTCTGTCATTGGATAAGTAAATAAATAGGAATAAACATCCCCCAAAACTTACCAGTTTATTTTTAAGTGTACAGCATCAAGTTCATTCACACTATTGTGCAACATACATCATCATATATCTCCAAAACTTTTCATCTTTCAAAACTAAAAATCTGTACATTTAAAAAAATAAATTCCCATTTTCTCTTCCCTCAAACCCTGAGCAACCATCATTCTGTTTGTTGTCTCTATGACTGTGTAAGTACTTCATGTAAGTGGAATCATGCAATATTTGTCCTTTCATGTCTTTTATTTCATGTAGCATAATGCTTTTAAGGTTCATCAATGTTGTAATATGTTGTAGATGTGTCAGAATTATGTTCCTTTTTAAAGACTGAATAATACTCCATTATATGTAAATACCATACTTTGTGGAAATTTGTATCATTTCTACCTTTTGGCTACTGGGAATCATGCTGCTATGAACATGGTGAACAAATACCTGAGTCCCTGTTTTTCATATTTTGGGGTATATCCCCAGAAGTGGAATTGCTGAATCATATTGTAATTTTATGTTTTTTTTTGAGATATGACTTTGCTATGTTGACCAGGCCAGTCTCAAACTCATGGACTGAAGTGATCCTCCTGCCTAAGCCTCCTGAGTGGTTGGGAGTGCAGGTGTGTATAAGTTTTTAAGGAACCATCATCTTGTTTTCCAAGGTGGCTCTGACATTTTACATTTCCACCCACAGTGCAAATCCAGTTTCTTCCCATATTCACCAACACTCATTATTTTCTTTTTTTGCTTTGAGAATAGCCACCCTAATGGATGGGAAAGTGGAATGTCATTGTGGTTTTGATTTGCCTTTCCTGACATATTAGTGACGTGACAGATATTTTCAAAGGTTTATATTTACTCACATTTTTGCCTTTTCCACGGTTTTTCATTAGGTCTAGATTAGCTTGTTTAGGTCTAGATTTCCATCTGGCATCATATTCCTTTTGTCTGAAAGAATTCCTTTAACATTTCTTATTCTCAGTCTTCAGAAATGTTGGTGGAAGTGTTCTTTAAGTTTTTCTTGACAAGAGTCTGATAAAATCTCTTTCACCTTCATATTCAAAAGATATTTTTGCTGTTAATTTGGACTGACTATACAATGTCCTGAATTTTCATTATGGAGACCAATGCAAAATGAAAATCTGGAATCATCTGTTCAAACATTATTAAGAATTTTAAGCCATCAGTGGCAGAATGTTAAACTAAGCATGGTCCTTCTGAGCTTGGGACCTTGAAGACTGCACAAGCCTGCTCTGCTGGACGTAGAATTCTAGGGGCTCATTTTTTTCTTTTGGTACAGTGTGAACCACAACTCCACTCACTTTAGTTTTTTGTAGTAATAGGACAGGTGAGAATAGAGACAGAAAACAAAGAAATATACAAATGAGGTGGTTTCTGATATTAATAAAGCTTATAAAGAAAATGAAAAAATCAATGGTTAGAATCACTAGCTCACCAGTAATTCCTACCTACTTGAGAGGCAGAGATCAGATAGACCACAGTTCAAGGCCAACCCAGGCAAAAAGTTGGTGAGAACCCATCTCAACCAATAAATTGGGTTTGTGGCATGCACCTGTCATCCCAAGTATGCAGGAGATGTGCAAAAATGTGAGACCCTATCAAAAACAAACAAACAAAGAGCTCAAGTGGCTGAATGCCTGTCTATCAAGCATGAGTCCCTGAGTTCAAAACCCCAGTACCACACACACACACACACAAAATCATTGACTTAAGAGGGATTGATGCAGGTGGTGAAAGAACTGCAACTGAAGACTCATAAGGTAGGAATGAACTTGGTATGCTTAAGGAACAGACAGGAGAGTTAGTGCAGCTGGAGCATCATAAACAAAAGGAGAGTGGCAGGAGATAAGGGAAAAGAGGTGGACAGGAGTGAGTCCATATGAGACCTCATGGGCATGGTTAGAAGTTAGTTGTATTCAAGTCAATGAATGACTTGAAGCAGAAACAGTATATGATGTGAAAAATGTTATAAAATATCATTCTGCTATTGGGGAACAGAAGTTGGGAGGCTAAGAGTAGAACCAAGTAATTGAAGGATGGAAGAGACAACTCTATAGTTGGAGTTTTTATATTAAGCTACTATTGAAACCTCTGGTTGAGACTTTTTGTTTAAACATAGTTGAGGTTTTATGGCAGTGGGGGGGTGGTTAGATGGTGAGACAAACAGATGAAGTCACTCTAATGGAGAGGACCCTGAATAATATGAAAGATACCTTTCAGAAGGCTACATATGGTGACTAAATGGTGACAGTGTTATGGGAGGGTGGTAGCTGACATAGGAAAAGTGTTTCCTTAAGACAACACTTCAACCTCTTCAAATTACCTTTCTCTCAATCTTGGCCTCACAAATACAGGTGACTCATACTAGATCTCTCAGGAATTCCAAACAGAATTCTAGAATGATTTTATGTTGTGATTCTCAACATCCACGGCAGCAGCATTAACCATTATCACTACTAGCACATTTATCATTTGCATTATTAATGGTATTTATGGAACACATGCTGCATGCCAGGCCCTATCTTAATGGCTTTATAAGCATGACCTCATTTATTTATTTAAAAAATATGGAACGCTTCACGAATTTGCGTGTCATCTTTGCGCAGGGGCCGTGCTAGTCTTCTCTGTATCGTTCCAGTTTTAGTATATGTGCGCCGAAGTGGGCATGAGCATGACCTCATTTAATCCTCACTACGACTCTGGAAGAAACAAGCTATTATCCACAATGGTAGAAAGGTGAAGTAATTTGACAAGGTCACATTCTATAAGGCAGTAGAGGCTATGCATTGGAGTAATTATTTTCATCCATCTTGTATGGATTAAAAATATTTCCTTGCAATGACACCAAGTTTGCTTTTACTTGAAAATAAATCAAAACAGTACTATAAACAAATAAAAAAATAAACTGTAAAACAAAATCCTTTGCTAGAACTTGGATAAAAACGGTCTGGTCTCCAAATTGGGATAACAGTAAAAGTGTCACCTGTTTAAAATAATAATCTGCGTTATTAAAATCTGACCTTGTGGGAACTTGCTTTCTAATTGATATGTCAGAACTCCTGAAGGTCAAAAGACATAAATGACCTGTTTAAAACAAAAGGAAGTGTACCTGTACATGACTGAAAATCTATTGAAAAAGCACCAGAGAGCTTTATATTCAGGTTAATAAAAATGAACCACACATTTCAAAGGAGAATCTGGGACACTGTTCAAATAACAAAGATTTAAAGCAAGCTGGGCTTACTGCCCAGAATAATACACACATGCATTCACAGAATTTTGCCCCCTGGGTTTGTTCACCCACCCCCACATCTAACCTTACAACACCAACTCAGAGAAAGTAAAACTGATGCAAAAAATGTTACAATGGACTAATGGCCTTAGTGTATAAAACCAAACAATGTCATATTTCAACATTGCTTTTATCTTTTAGGTATGAAAATCTTGAAATCTTGACTTTGAAATCTCCAGTATTACAACTAAAAATGTACAGCTGTAGTGTAATTTCAACATTACGTGTAATATTTCATGGTTGCATGTATTTTTAAGGACAAAATATTCTTGGTAGTAATTAAAAACTCATTCTGCAGAGAATATACATAAAGAGTACACATTCTATAGGATGATCTTTTAAAGGTGCAATTTATTATTCTCTTAATTTTCACCATATATGTAGTTTTCTGTCATGCCGTCTTAAATAATCACTCTGACTTCTTTGTCCTTCCTTACTGTAGAGAATAGTGGCTTCTTTGTGAATGGTAGAACTGGATCTCTATTTTACAGAATGACCTTGGACTGAGGGAAAGTTTGATGGCGTATTCATTACCATTACAAATCAACCAAATCAGCCCTAAACTTAATGGTTCAGAGCTACAAATATTTAGTGTCTTGCTGTTTCTGAAGGTTGGGAATCTGAGAGCAGCATGAATGGGTGCCATTGGCTCAAAGTCTTGCAAGGTTACAGTCAAGTAGTCATCCCAAGACCTGTTAGGGACTGAAAGATCCCCTTCCAGGCTCACTCACATGATTGGTTCAGGCTTTAGTTCACCAGAGTCTATTAGACGGAGTTCCTATGCACACCACAGCTATACTTACAAATGATAGCTTACCTCTCCCAGCACAATTGATCTAAGGAAAAGAGAGCAAGTGTGCTCAAGATGGAACCTAACCTTAAAGGTGATTTCCCACCATTTTTGCCTTATTTTGCCCATTAGAAATGAGTCATTAGATTCCATCCCAGCCTCAAGGGGAGGGGATTCCAGGGATCCTTGGGGACCATTTTAGAGGCTGCCTACCAAAGTGTGCATCCATTGCCCAAATTCCTGGCCAAGACTAGAGGAACACTGGGATTATTTCCCTCTTCCTTCTTCTGGAATGAAGCTTGTTCAAACTCAGAAGAAACAAAGGGGAATGTGACGAGAGCTGAGTCTGAAGACTATGCCCAGCTATGAAAGACTCCTTAGATTTTACCTGTATCTTCAGGACAACAGCCTCAGGCTCTACTTGCTCAGTCCTTCCTCCAAACATCCCTGGAAGACATTAAAGGACTTTTGTGTGTCTTACCTCCTTCCTGTCTCAGCTGACCCTCAGCACTTCCTTTCCCTTTACCCTGTCCTCCAGGGCAACTCCCCACCCTGTCTCGCAGGCAGAATTGGATGTCTACAAGGACCAGAAGTGAAGCTCAATCCTTGGGACTAAAACTAAGCTGAAGAGCTAGTACTCTGATGTCAAATGGACTGACCTTGTGTTATATAGACTTTAGCAAAAGAAAACCAGAAGCAGAATTTGACTCTGGGTGAGAGGCCAGACAAGAACATGCCAGTAAGTTGGGAGCTAGTGGCTCAGACTTGTTGTATTCCTAGCTACTCAGGAGGCAGAGATCAGGAGGATTCCAATTCAAAGCCAGCCAAGGCAAACAGTTCAAAAGACTCTATCTTGGAAATACCCAACATAAAAAAGGGCTGGAAGTACTACCAAAAAAGACTATGCCCGTGTTGAGCTCTCCCAGTTGAGGTTTAGACATGTGACTCCAATATTATGCCTACAAAGTAGATTTAAAAACAAGAAACACAAGACCAGAAGATGGCTGGTCTGGTGATGCAGATATAGGTAGAGAGGTAGGAAGGGAGCCCAGGGTGTCTCATCACTAGCAACTAAATAAGCTATCTGAAGGGAAAAATAAATGCTTCATGTGTGTAGGGGTCCAGAAGGTAGCTAAATAAATGAAGCAGGTAAGAACATAGAGATAGAGCTGGGTGGGGTGGCACATACATGTAATTCCAGAATGCAGGAGGCTGAATCAAGAGGATCACAGTAATCTCAAAGCTGCTTGAAGCCTGGGTCACATAGCGAGAGCCTGTCTCAAAACTTGAGAAAGAGAGGGAGAAAGAGAGAGAGAGAGAGAGAGGGAGAGAGAGAGAGAGAGAGAGAGAGAGAGAGAGAGAGAGAGAGAGAGAGAGAGAGAGAAGAAAAATTAAAAAAAAAAGACTAGAGAAAAGTGTTTGATTGTAACTACTTGGAGTATTAGGGCCAAAGTTAAGTGAGGCCAAGTGTATAGGGCAGATTCTTCCAGCAGGGGGCACCAGTAAATGGTTTTCATTGTCATGCATCAGGTTTGGTGCTGTGGATGAGCTCCTGTACCAAAGGAGAGGCTCCAGTTTGAACTTTCCCTAGCAGTTTAGGTTCACTCCTTACAGACTGCATAGACGATGGAGCATAGCTGCCTTGACCTTGAGCCAATTGTAGGCTACAGGAAGAGCAGAGGGGAGCAGATTCTGTTTTGAGTTGAGCATGTAGGTGCCTTAAACTGAGTTGGGGCTCAAAGTTTCCTTCCTTCCTTCCTTCCTTCCTTCCTTCCTTCCTTCCTTCCTTCCTTCCTTCCTTCCTTCCTTCCTTCCTTCCTTCCTTCCTTCCTTTCTTCCTCCCTCCCTCACTTTCTCCCTTCCTTTCTTCTTTCTTTTTTAGTGTATATTAATTGTACAAAGGAGTTCCATTGTGAAATTTCCATACATGCATATAAGTACTTTGGTCAAATGTATCACCTCTATTACTCTTTCTTATTGCACCCCCCCATTTTTTAAAACAAATTGTAACATTGTTTCATTACTACATTTTTACACATATGTATGAAATACTTAGATCATATTTAACCTCTTTTACCCTTCCTATTCCCACTGGTCCCCAACCCCAGTTTTTTTTTTGTGTGTGTGTGTTTAGGTCTAGATGCCGCATATAGAGAGAACATATGAAATTTGTCTTTCTCAGTGTGGCTTACTCACTTAACAAAATGATTTCCAGTTCCATTCATTTTCCTGCAAACAACATAGTTTCTTTCTTCTTTATGGATGAATCTCCATTATGTATATATGCCACATTATCTTTACACATTTTTCAGTTGAAGGGCATCTAGGCTGACTTCACAGCTTGGCTATTGTGAATAGTGCTGCAATAAACATGGGTGTGCAGGTGCCTATATTGTATGCTGACTTACATTCCTATGGATATATGCCCAGGAGTGGTATACAGGACTATATGGTAGTTCTACTTTTAGTTTTTTGAGGAGCCTCCTCCTGATTTCCATAGTGGCTGCACTAATCAAGTTTTTCTTAAAGGACAGGCTCTTGACTAATTGCATTCTAGTTACAAAAATGGCAGCTTGGGAAGTAATCTGTTCTTCCTCCTTCTCCTTCTCCTACTATCTCATCTCCCCTTCCCGTCCTGTTCTACCATCTCCCCAGTGCCCTAGACAGCACAGAAATTTGCCTATGAGATTTGAAACTGGGGAGTCAATTGGAATTGCTGATCTTGGCTGAGATGGTTGTTTTTGCCTTGTGGTATTTTGACCATGCTGCTGTCTGACAGTTTGTAACACACAGACAGAGAATAATTGCTAGTAAGGCAGCAGAACATTGCATGGGAGAACACCAAAGAAAATGTGTCTAAGACTTGGCTCCAGCAACACTATCTAGGAATGATAACCAGGGCCCCGATGGGTGAAGGCAGCAAGCATCTCACTCCCAGGACCATGCAAACTGAGGGTCAGATCCTGTCTTTATTGAAAAAACTCCACATTTTCTTCAAAATGGCATTTTTGCTTTCATTTTGTTTTCTAAAATATTGTATTAAAACATGTACGTTGATGACTGCGTTTTTGGTGTCCCTTAAATTTTGCACCTCAGGTGAGTCTTGCTCCCCTCGCCCTGGTTCCAGACCAGAATACCTGCACTGTTGACTCAAGTGCATGAGCAGCAGGACCTTTTGACCTTGATTCCACCCCTCCCCCATTTTCTCCTGAGAACGGATCAAGCCAACAAACAGAGGGTACAATAATTCTTTATATCACAAGCTGAGTTAAAGTCACCTCGACTATTTCTGTATCTGTTACTATATCAATGACAGCCTAAAAGTGAAACACTCCATCTTATTATTTTAATTGAGAGGAATTACCGTGGTTAATTTTGGATGTGCCTATTTTCTTTTTACCAAATTGGTATGAGGTAGACTGGGATTAACCCTTACATCCAGGGTAAAGGTCTGCTGGGATTTGCTCATCTTTTGTCTAGAATTGTTAGATGTTTGAAACTGAACTCAATTAGCGCAGTATTTTGGCTTCTTATGTGCTAAAACGAAAATGAAAACAAAAGCAAATGCATGGTGTGAGATTTTTCTCATAAACATTTTTTTCTTGATTGTGTGAAGCTTTCTGAGGCTGTTTCTCAGTATTTTTGAGCCCTTTCCAGCTGGAAGAAAGGACAAAACAGCTGTTTTAAATCACCAAGAAACTGGCTTCCAGTATGGAAGTATGGAAGAGGGAATTTGTCTCTGTTATATATTTTGCCTTTGTCCTGGGAGTGATTATGTTGAGGAGCACTCTTGGTTGTGCAAATGTGAGCCAAGTATTGATCAGGGGTAGCTCCTGATACTGGTAGCTCCTGAAACATTCTCTGCAGATGTTTCAGATTATATGATGAAGTATTCTGTTTAATAGTGACAAAAGCTGGCCTGGGAGGGGTGGTCATAATTACAGTTGTTTAATAATTTTAATTATTCTAGTAGATACACACTGAGATATTCAAGAGTGAGGAATCTGCATCATGCTTTCAAATGGTTTGTTGAAATAACAGCAATAATTATGTGTATGTTTATGAGAGAGAGAGAGAGAGAAAACAAGTGTGAGTGAGAAAAATGCTAACAAAACATTTATCAAGGGAAGAATTTATAAGACTTCACTGTGCTAATTTTACAACTTTTCATTTTGGCCAGGTACATGTGGCTCACACCTGTAATCCTAGCTACTCAGGAGGCAGCCCAGGCAAATAGATCATGAAACCCTATCTCGAAGAAATCCACCACAAAAATGGGCTGGTGGAATGGCTCAAGGTGTTGTCCCTAAGTTCAAATCCCAGTACTAAAAAAAAATTTAAACATAGCACAGATTTAAAAAAAAATGTCAAGTTTCACATATCTAGGTGTATGTATGCATATATAGATTCTGTGTATGTATGTATGTATCTATTTATCATCTATTTTCAGGGATAAGCTAGTAGATGGCAAGATACAAGAAGCAAAGGACTAGTCTGAGATTTAAACCAGGATCGTATGTTTCTCTTAGTTATCACTTTTATGGATCTTTAAGCCAGACTGGATTTGTTGATATATGGTCCTCCGGCTTGGACTGGAATTGTTGCTCCATCCTGGAAAATGACTCAGGATTTAGTGATGTTGCAATCATCAAGAATGCATGGAAGTTATTCATGAGTTTATTTCAGTTTTGTTTCTGGTTTCAGAAATTTATTTATTTATTTGGTGGTACTGGGCATTTGAATTTAGGGCCTCTTGCTTTGTAAGTAGGTACTCTACCACTTGAGCCACACCCCAGCCCTCTTTGCTTCAGTTATTCAAGTAGGGTCTTTCGGACCATGATCCTCCTACTTAGCTTCCCATGTAGCTAGGATGACATATGTGTGCACTACCACACCCAGCTTTTTATTGGTTGAGATGGGGTTTTGCTAACTTTTTGCCTGGACTGGCCCAGAATCTTGATCCTCCCACTCTGACTCCTGAGTAGCTAGGATTGCAGGCATAAACCACTGTGCCTGGCCATAATTTTATTTATTGACCACAGTATCAGTCTCTTCAATTTCTAAGACATCTGTGTTCAAGGCATGGAGAGTTATTGTATTCATAAAATTTGCACAAGTCTTTCCTCACTATTTTAATCCCCATCTGAGAAATTTACATACCACATTTCTTGCATGATTTCCCCTCCCCCAACCTCAGATGCACATAAATAGTGGGTGTTGAAAGGATAAGAGGAATTGTGTGAGTAAATTACCACCAGCTGTCTGAAGGCTTGGTCATAATTTCTTTCCTTGAGGTTTTTCAGCTGACAGACAAGCCTAACCATGGAAAGAGATGTGTACACACACACACACACACACACACACACACACATTCCTAAAGACAGGGGAAGAAGGTTGGGAGACAAAGGGAGGAAATATCTATTTTTTTGGTTCACAGAACTCTAGGCAGCAAGTGAGGGAATGTACTTAGTCAGCTTCCTTGTTAGAACCTTGGTCTCATATGATACTTCAGGCAGCTGAGAAATGGGAAGTTAGGGTCACTGGCCTAGCCCTAGAGAGCAGTTTGGAGCAGAACTGAGATTAAAATTCATGACTGCTATATAGAGTCAGAGTTGGAGTCCTGCTAGGTATGCAAACATTAGTGAAAAAATGGCTATGATTTATAGAATGTCTAAAATGTGCTTGGCAATGAATTAAACACTTTTCATGTTATCTCCCTATCAGGTACTTATTATTAATACCTTACTTTACAAATAAAGAATCTAAAGCACGGAGTGTTAGTAACTTGAAAGAATTACAGGGCTGGAAATTGATGCTAGAGAAAAAAAACCTTAGCTGCCATGTTGTGTTGTATGCCAGCCACACTGGCTACTGGGTACTGCCCTTCCCAATGAATGAGACCCTAGGTAGTCACTGAGGGCGGGAGTGGGGAGATTTTTTCTTCTACTAGTGAAAATTAGATTTTTCAACCACACATTTTAAAAACTGATTTTTAAAATTTTTAGTTGACAATAATTGTGTCAACTTATGAGATACAATGTGATTTTTTATATATGTACACATTGTGGAATGATTAAAACAAGCTAATACTTTTTCTTTGGTGGTACTGGGGTTTGAACTTAGGGCCTCGTGCTTGCTAGGCAGGTGCTCTACACTCTACCACATGAACCACTCCACCATCCCTTTCACGTCTTGGGTATTTTCAAGATAGGGTCTTTTAAACTATTTGCCTGGGCTGGTCTTGAACCGAGATCCTCTTGATCTCTGTCTCCCGGGTAGCTAGGATTACAGGTGTGAGCCACTAGCACCTGACCAAGGTAATAAATTTTTCATAAAAGCTCTGAACTTTCAGTTATGATCAAGGTTTCTGTTATGATCATTCTCTGTACCTTACTGAGATTACTGAGATGCTATCTTCTTTATGAAGCATTCTTTAGTCAAATTTAATTAGGTGCTCTCTCCTTCTTCTGGACTGTGGGCTTTATTGTAGTACTTCATACAAATGGATTTGTATTATCATTTGATGACTGCTTGTCTGCTTTCCACATTAGATTTTAAATGTGCACCACAATGCCTAGCACATGTGCTGTAGGTGTTATTTGAACTGAGGTTGAACTGAGTGAACTTAGGTAACCAAATTCTCCTTGAGTATTATCAGGGTGTGGGAATAAAATTAAGTCCCCTGAGCATTATCTACGTCTGCGTGCCCACTCATTCATTTACTAATAAAGTCCAGTATAAAACTCCTCCTGTGCCCCCATAAGTTTTTCTGCTTATCCAAAGGATTGTTTCCACTCTCCTGTGGTCTGCTGCTGACCCCGAGCTCTGTTGCTCTGAGGCGCAGCTGCTCTTTGCCTGCTGTGTTTAGTCTGCAGAGTCTGCAGAGCCTCACATCCTCCACCTCTGCCCTGCATCAGCTGCTGAAGGGCAGCTCTTTCCATTCATGTATACAATCATTTGTCTCTAGGTTGCTTGAAAGGCCTGGGTAGCCAGGTATGTCTAGCCAAGTTCTGCCCGTTAGGCCCTCCATTGGGCTAATGTAACCAACTTGAATTTATTAACTCTATTAGACCATTTTTTGGTATGTGAAAACTTAATTTTATTGTACAGTTGGCCTTCTGTTTCTGCAGATTTCACATCCACAGATTCAACTAACCACAGATCAAAATATTTAAGGGGTCTGAGCTGGGTGCTGGTGGCTCACACCTGGTGACTTGGGAGGCTGAACTGGGGCCAAAAGTTCTCAAGATTCCATTTGAACCAATTGGGTACAGCAGCATACACTCATCATCCCAAGTTATATAGGAGGCTGAGACTGGGAGGATGGCAGTTCCAGGCTAACCCAGGGGAAAAAAATTCACGGATCCCCATCTCAATGAAAAAAAAAAAAAAGCTGGACATGGTAGCACATGCTGTCATCCTAGCAATGGTGGGAAGCCTAAAACAGTAGGATTATACTCCAGGCAAGCCTGGGAAAAACGTGGAACCCTGTCTCCAAAATAATCACAGAAAAAAAAAAAGGGCTAGCAAGTGTAAAACCCTGAGTTCGAATCTCTAGTACTGCAAAAAAACCCAAAGAACAAAAACAAAACTGTGGCCTGAACATGTTTCGCTTGTCATTATTCCCAAAACAATACACCATAATGACTATCTGCATAACATTTACATAGTATTGGTGTTGTAGTTTGGGTCTTAAATGTTTCATAATACATGGATATCAAGGTCTTTGTCCCCAGTCTGTGGTTGTATTGGGAGGTGGTAGAATCTTTACAGGTAGGAGGAAGTTAGGTTACTGGTGGGGGGCATGCCCTGGGAGGAGATATTGGGACACCAGTCCTTTCCTCTCTCTCTTTTTGCTTCCTGTCTACTGTGAGGTGAACAGGTTTCCTCTGCTATGTGTTCCCACCATGAGGTATTGTGCTGTCACAGACCCAAAACTACAGGACCAAATGATGATGGATTGAAATCACTGAAACAGTGAGCCAAAATAAACCTTTCCTCCTTTGAATTTGATTATCTCAGGTATTTTGTTACAACAATAGAAAGCTGGCTAACACAACAATTGTCTATAATCTGGAGATGATTTAAAGTATATGGGAGGATATGCATAGATTATAGGTATCGATATAGATATGCAAATAATGCACCATTTTATATAAGGGATTTGAGCATCAGCAGATTTTCAGCAGACCAATAGTGCTGTAGGCTGGAGACCAAACTTTTAACACACGGGCCTTTGTGAGACATTCAAGATCCAAACTATAGCACCAATATTATGTAAATGCTATATAAATAGTTGTTATGCCATATTATTTATGGAATATTGCTGAGAAAGTCATCTTTTTATGCTCTACTGTCTCAACCTCTTTTAGTCTATGCTGGTACAACACACTTTAAAACTTTAAGGGCATCTTATGTACTAATTAATAGTCAACTCCACTAGACAAAAGCCATATCCATCCCACATTTCATTCTGAAAATGCTTTTTAAAAAAAACTTAGTCTGCTTGTGATTTGAAGTGGGATAATGGACTGTTCAGATTGTGAGAAACTTCTGTCCAATGGACATGCACACCCTTAAGACTCTTAGAGGCTGTTCTGTTTAACTAAAAGGATAGTTGAAGCACCATCTTAACTCTTTTACCCCTGGGTCTAACAGTCACATCTTGGTTTTGATTTTTGCCCTGAAGCTACTTCTTATTTTGAAGGCTCTTCCTGTCTGGAGAGACTGGAGATGAGAAGCAGTTTTGTATTAGAATGCTTATACAAAGCCCTAGCTTTTTATACTTCCTGTAAATTCTGCTCAAAAACTATTTTTAGCCCATCTTTTTTCTATCCATACTTTATCATAATATGGCTTAAAGGAACTGTTAGTATTTTTGAAATTCTGACTGAAAAGCTCCTGAGCCAGATCCATGCATTCATTAGTTACATTTTCTGTTTTTCCACATATCAAAGGCAATGATTTTGATAAGTTTTCTGCTACTACACAAGGCAGGCCATTTTTTTTCCAACCTCCAATACTAGTTCCTTCACTGTGTCAACAGTCTCCTCCATAACTCCATGCTCTCCCATCATTCACTAAGACTTTTCATGAGGCCTTTCTGGCTTCTGCTGCATCCAAATAACAAAATCATCACCATTTGTTTTATGTTTTTGTTATAGCAACACCCCACTTCTGGGTACCACGTTTGGCTTCAGTTATCCACTGCTATTTACAACTACCTCAAAACTTATGTGCTTAACACAACAAGTATATTATTATGTCATGATGGCGGTAATTCTAGCATGACTACAGCTAGACTTGCTCAGTTTTGTTCAATGGAGGCCTGCTTCACACATTAAGTCTGACACTTCAGTGGGAACTGCAAGATGTTGGGCTCAGCTAAACCCTTCCTTCTTTCCGTATTGGTGCCTGTCCACATTGTTTCTCTAGCATAGTTGTTTGAATTGTTATCTGGAAACTCAGGGCTCCAAACACCAGTGTCCCAAGAGTGTAAGAGTCACACTCAGAAACTTTGATCTAGCCTTGGCTGTTAGACATGTTTTGGCAGCATTCTGTTAGTCAAGTGAGTTCATGAAGCCAACACAAATTAAAGGGAGAACAGTTAGATTCTACCTTTCAATGAGAGAAGTAGCCAAGAATTTGTGGTTACCTTTATCATAGACACTGTATCCTTGATCTCAGAATGATTCACGCTGTCCAGAAAGAACATTTTTCCTTTTATCCCCAAGGTTAGGAACATAGACATGAAGCTGTGAGAGACAAGAATACATCTGTTGACTAACCAAGTCAGCTCAATAAACTGTGGTGATCAGTGAAGTAACAGATGTCGCAGACATCTTGTCCTCCTATTGAAGTGTTCAGAGAATATTGGATGTCGAAATTAGGGAAGCGGCATACATGATGGTCAGGCATGACATTCTGGAATTGAACTGATTGGTCTGGAATCTCAGTTTTGCCATCTATCAGCTTTGGGAACTTAGGCAATACACCTTACCTCAATGTGTTCCACATTAGTTATTTATGAAACAGAGACAAGAGCCTACCTCACAGGTTATCATGAAGATGAAAAGAGCCAGCATACACAAAGCTTTTAGAAGAAAATCTGGGAAAATGTGTTAGGCAAATTTATTTATTATCCATTCATTCATTTATTGATGGTACTGTAGTTTGAACTCAGGGCTTCACATTTGCTCTGCTGCTTGAGTCACACCTTCAGCCCTTTCTTGTTCTGGTTACTTTTGAGACAGGGTCTTGCTTTTTTGTGCAGGCCAGCCTGTATCATGGTCCTCCTTATCTCATCCCCCCAAGTAGCTAGGATTACAACTGTGAGCCACCAGTGTCTGGCTTAGACACAGTTATTTTTATTATTGTCTTATAATTTATGCAATGATGCATATCAAAATCAATAGTTCTTTTTACTCAGAATTGAGTTGAAGAGAATAAAAGGAAAATAAATTTCAAAAAGATGAAGGGAAAGTAAGAGTATCATTGGACTTTTTGAGCTCAGTGAAAAGACTATGAATAAGACTATCTTATATTTTTGTTCCTTACAGTCAATTTAAGTATTTCCCAAAGTACTCAGGAATCAGTTGACCAAATTAAGAACACTCAGGAAAGAATAACATAGCTGGCTTAATTTGTAAACATCATTTACCCACATTATTTGGGTTATAATCCAGAAAGTGGGGAGCAGGTGCAGGTGGAGAAAAATGTGTAGCTTTCTACATAATGACCTTCAGTGTCAAAATGTGAATAAAAATAATGTGTTAGAATAGGCCAGGTAAGGCTGCAGTTGACTAATCTCCAAATCTCAGTAACTTAATTTTTAAAAAAGTGTTTTTTGTTCATTCCGCATGTTCAGTTTGGGTCAGCAGGAAGGCTCTAATCATCACTAAGATGAAGATAAGACTCAGGTTGATGAAAGCTTGCTTCCTCCCAACATGTACTGATCTTCAAAGATCAGTGGAAATTCACAATGGCCAGTTGTGTTCTAGCTCTTAAAAACACTGACATTCTATCTAGAAGTGAGCATATGAGACTTTCTTCCACACTTTCAATGGTCAAAAGTCACAACTAATTTTAAATGGGGTGGGAAAGGGTGAAGATAACATGTATCACCAAGGGGAAAAGTTTGACAAAAAGTCAGAAAGCACTATGTATAGTGACTGTACATTGTAGCATTATTCCACAAGTACTCACTCTCCACCCTGGCACTCTGTGGGCAGAGTTGACTTATCTGCACTATTGACTTTGGACTTGACCATATGAAGGGGATATGGAAGAAGGAACAGTGGATGGGTTCTGAGCAGAGACTTAAGAAACATCATAAGTGTCTGACAACTCTCTTGTACTCTGCCTGGGGAGTATTCCCCAGATAGCTTCTTTAGTATAGGTTCTGGAATGAGAGATAAATGCCAGGCCCAACCAATCCATACCAAAACCATAGGTCCCTGAGTGAGAAAGGAATGTTGGTTGCAAAATATTGAGATTTGAGAATTCTTTGTGAAGCTGCATTTTTTTCAACAAACAATATGACTAGTACAGTCATGACAGAGGATTTCATGAAAACTGGCTACTACAGATAAATGTTTGCAAGTAAGCACATGAAATAGGAACTTGTTAGTGTCCTAAGAAATGTAAAATAAAATAAGATGATATTAGATTATATTTTTGATAGATATAGATACATACCTAAATATATTATACTTATTAAATTATTTATTAAATAAGAAAAATTTAAATGATAAATCCTAGTGGTGCTGAGGTTATATATAAGTTGATAAAATTAGAATAATTTTACCCTAACATTCCTATGCCTAAGATGTTATCCCAAAGAAGTAGTTTGACTTAGTCCATTTCTGCTGTTATAAGAAAACACTTTAGACTGGATGATTTAGAAGTAATAGAAGTTCATTTCTCACAGTTGTGGAGACTGGCAAATCCAAGGTAAAGGTGCCAGAACATTATGTCTGCTTTCAAGATGGCTCCAGTTTGCATCTTCCAGAGGTAGGACACTGTGTGTCACATGGTGACAGAGACAGAGGGCAGAAGAGACTAGTGCACTTCCTTTAACCTCTAATCCCACTCATGAAGATACAGCACTCCTGACTTAATTACTTCCTCAAAGGCCCCCCTTCTTAAGCCTTACTCTTTAGGTTCTAACACATAAATTTTGGAGGGATCCATACATTCAAACTATAGCAAAATTCAAAAGAATAAAGGAGAAAAATCTTCACTAACACAATTACCTGTTAGAATCAATATTAGAAACAGTGTAACTATGCAATAACAGCATATTAAGCAAGCTATGGTCCTATTGATATTATAAAATAGTATATAATCATTAGAATAACAAATATGAACACATCCTGAAAACATGGAAAAATATTTAATTCATAAATATAGCTATGAAAGTAGGTATGTACTACATATGGAATATGACTAAAGAGAATATGGAGAAATACAAACTTTTGTGCTAGAGTGGTTACATGAGTATTTTTCTTTTGAAATCTAACACAAAAATGTTTTTCAACAACAAATATAATTATAGAAATCAAAGACATTTTTCTCCTCAAGAATGCACTTGTATGTGTAAGTGAGTCAGTGTCTGGATTAAAAGACACATTTTTAAGGGGTAGAGGCATGGCTCAAGTGTACAATGAATGCCTTGCAAGCAAAAGGCCCAGTATGTAAAAAAAAAAAGACACATTTTTAAGAGTGGAAGAAATTCAACACTTTTAACAATGATTATCTCTGAGTATTGAAGATAGTTTTATTTTCTAAGTACTTTCCTTACTTTTTTCAAATTTTCTTCAATAAATATGTCTTAAACTTTTGAAAAAGTTATTTCAAAAGTAAATGAGCCAAAAAATAAAATGCCTTGAAGCAGAAAAAAAATAAATGAGCCAGTTTTCTAGCCTACTTCTGACAGCCCACCACTCACCTACTTTGTGCAACCGCTTCTTGAATACAATGCTGTAGACAGAGTTCCCCTCCACAACTCAGTAGCCCATAATTTGATTCGAGACACAACTAAATATAACACCAACTTTGGTATGAAGGATGGAAATCTGACTCTCCTTGCTTTTTTTTTTCCGCCCTCAGAGGCAACAGGAGATTCTTTTCAGGACAGGTGGTCTGTGAGCCCTGTCTAAGTCAAATGATCTTAAAATTTTTCCTGGTAACATTCTAAGTTCAAGAGTAGTGTAGTCTTAGCTACAGACCAAGGGTCGGGTTAAGGGATTCTAGACTTGGGGCCTTTTAGACAATTTTTCTGAACCCTCAAATGTTTTGTTACCCTGTCTTCCCCACCTCTAATATGCTGGTAATTAGGAGAACTCATTACCCAAGCAATGGGAGGTAAGATGACAGTTTTCCTTAAGAATACAGGTTCCTCACAGCCCCACCAGTACTCAAACATGCCAGAGTCTCTCCTGAGTCAAACGGAGCAGATTCCTGTGAGAGTAGATTCATTGTGGACAAGACTTGTTGGTCATATCTGTGGGAATTCTGAGAACATACCTCCAAGGCCATGTTGTGGAGAAAAGAGCCAGTATCAGAGCCTCAGGAGAGACTTTGAGCCTTTTTGGTCTCAAATGTAACATCTGTAAACAAGTATAACTAAATCAACCTTGCCACATATGGTACCAGAAAGCTTTCTGCAAATTAAAAAAAGGTCAGTGGTTATGCTAATAATAACAGTGATTATGTCACTTAATAAAAAGGTCTTACTTCAGAGCTAAAAAGGAGCTTCATGCCGTAAGCACTCTAATTACAGCATGTCTGCCTGGTTTAAACCTTGATACATAAGCAGATGCACAGGGCTACGGCAGTGCTGTATGGCAAGGGCCCTTCCCATGCTTTTAGACTGGAGATTGGAGGTGCGGATGGTTACTGTCTTGAAGCTTTTCCATCCTTCTGGGAGGTTCAGGAACCCTCCGTTTGCCTCCTTGGAGCTCCCAGTTGCTGTGGAAACTGAAAAAGAAGGAGGTAGCATGCCACAAAACCAGGGCATGTTTGAGAGGGAGGCAGCTAAAAGCCTACAAGGTTTTTATGAGGCTGTTTCTCTTCCCAGGGAAGCCTTCTATCCCTAGATTAGGGGTGAAACTAACATGTCACAACTCTAGGAAAATAACCTTGTGCCTGTGGCCTTCTGATATAGGCCTGGGTCACACCTCAATCTCTGCCCCCGAGGTTGCCTGGGGACAGGTTGCTAATGCAGGCCCCTCATTGGGATGGGCGAGGGCAAGGCGTCCTCCTGCTACCCCTCTGCCACCATCCTGCCTTGGAGCCAGAGAGAGGCGGCGACCTGGGAGTGTTCCCAGCTGCCCGGCCTCAGAGTCCCGCCCCGCCCCGCCCCGCTTCGCTCGCTCGCGGTTGACAGCTCAGCGGGGGCCGAGCGCCTCGTGCCAGCCGCCAGCGTCTCGCCCGCCCGCCCGCACCCCGCTCCCCCAGAACAGTCTCTCCCTTGTGCAGCTCGCCGGGTTACGATCCTCCGATCGGCCACGTCCAAGTGGTTTTCTGCAAAAGCAGGCAACGGTGCTCCGACGCAGAGAGGAGGCGCTGGGGAGGCAGAAGCTGGGGCTCTTTGCGCTGGAGGCCGGGGGGCCAGGCTTCGCGGGTTCCTGGGCTGCGTCCGCTCCCGGATGAGGAGCGCCCGGGCCAGGAAAGCGCCTGGATGATGGAGCAGACGTGGGTAAGGTAGGTGACTTCGGGTCCCTCCCCGCCCCTCCCCCAGCGCCCTCAGGAAGAGGTCACCCCTCGCTCGCCTCCGGGGCCCCTGAGCGCCTCTCTCTCCCCATCCTCTTCCCCTCCCGGGTTCCCAGCCCACCTCTCTGCCTCCTGCTGCACATGTCCCCTTTTCCACCTACTCTTGACATTCCAAATGCCCCATGAGGCTGCCTGAAAGTTTTTGTAGAAATGTCACTCTCTTTTCCTGCTTTGGGGGCTCTTTCCCACGGATTGGAGAGGTCCCCTTGGTCTTCTTTTAGACATACCTTTGATTTCCGGTACTTTGAACAATGTCAGATTCATTCTCGCCCTGCCACGTTTTGCTTCTCAGCCTCCCCCTGGACCAGTCACACAAAGGCACAGGACTGAGTGAACAGAGCTCAGCAGCTCTCATCTCCTGGACTCCAGGAGAGGGAAGGAGGAAGAGAGGTCAGGGAACCCTACACTGCTCAGGCTGAGGATAGGCAACATCGCGGAGATGCTTGGTGGGACGTTTCCTTTATCCCCCCTCTGTCCTCCAGTTTTACTCTAAACTGGACCTCCTTCCAGGGACCTGTAAGGATAAGGGAGTCCACTGAGACAAAGACTTACTTTCTGGTTTTAGGGGAAGTGCGGGTGCGGCGACTGCATGCCAGAGGTGTTTCCATAATAGATACTTTTCCATCTCCTGGATTTAGCTTTGGAGAATTGGGGTGGGGCCAAATAAGCGTCCTGACTCCAGAGAGAGAAGACTGTACAAACACAGAAAGTAAATTTGGGCTTAACAGAATTTATGCAAAAGACCTAAGGGCTTTTAATTGAACCGTTGAGAGTGAACGGTTTACTGTGAATTTTGAAGAAGGGCACATTGAAGCATGAGATGAGATGTACTTTCTACATTTGTAAGTGTCGATCCCAGATCCCACATTTACTCTTTCCTGCTCCCCTCAGACCTCTCCTTTCTTGGAGGACTGTGCTCTGTTTGGGGCATGGCTAGATTGGAAAAAAAAAAAAAAGTTCAATCAAAAGGCAGGACAGGTCTCAAAGCCCTGCACTGAGGGGTGGCCAAAGAACCAGGGTTCTCTAGTCTGGAGAAGCAGATTGGGAGATGGGGAGGGCCTGGCAGCTCTCCTCAAAGATCTGAAGTGCAGTTGGTGGTAGAGGGATTAGATAGATTTAGAATATTTTAGAAGGACAGAGCAACATAGGGGACAGGTTGTGGGAGTCAAAGTTATGACTCCAAGCAGGGTAAAGCCTTCTAAACGGTGAGCTGCTTGAGCAGTAAAGAGATTCCTGACCTTGGAGATATTCAAGCAAAGACTAGAGGACCGTTTGATGATAATGGGAGTGACTAGACCAGGGATTCTTGCTCTCCATCAGTGTGTTTGTTCAAATCCTAAAAACAGTAATCATGAACAAAGCCTTTGGTCCTATCCCCAGCACTGCAAAAAAAAAAAAAAAAGTATTATTTATTAACTTTTTTTTTGGTGGTACTGGGGTTTGAATTCAGAACCTCACACTGCTAGGCAGGTGCTCTACCACTTGAGCCTTGCCCCCAGGACCCCATTCCTTTTTGCTTTAATAATTAAAAAAATTATTTATGTTTTATTATTGTTGTACTTGGGCTATATTGAGACATTTACCAAACTTCTTAAAATATATCATAATTAAATTCACCCCCTTGCTTTAGTTATTTTTCAGATAGGGTCTTGACATTTTTGCCCAGGTCTGGCCTCAGACTTTGGTCCTCCTACCTATACCTCCCATGTAGCTACAAGTGTGTACCACCATGTCCATCTTATTTGTTGAGATGGGGTTCTTGATAACTTTTCTCCATGCTGGACTTGAAGTGTAATCTTCCCCATCTCCACCTCCCAAGTAGCTAGGATTACCATCATGAGCCACTGTACTTGGCCTTATTAACTTTAAAAAACATTATATTTACAAGCTAGACAGAGTGGTGCACACCTGTAATCCAGTACTAGGAGGCTGAGGCAAGAGGATGTTGAATTTGAGTCCAGCTTGTGGTTCATAGAAAGTTCTAGGCCAGTCTGGGTTACATGGTGATATCCTAGTAGGGCATACCTATAATCCCAGCACTCAGGAGGTGGAGGCAGGAAGATCTCAAGTTCTAGGCCAGCCTAGGCTACTTTGTGAGTTCCAAGATAGCCAGGACTGCCATGTACATGTAACAATTATGGACTAATTCAGAAATAATTTTGAAGAATCACAAATCATACATTTATAGTGTAATTAATTTCACAAACTAAGTGCACCCATATGATGGGCACTCAGATCAAGAATGAGAACATTGCTGGGGCTGTGGTCAAGTGGTAGAGCACCTGCCTGAGCAGCACAAGGCCCTGAGTTCAAATCCCAGTACCTCCAAAAGAATGAGTGCGTCACCAGTGCCCTTGAAACACTTCTGCACTACCAAGGATGACGTGACTATAATCTTTAACACCATAGGTTAGTTTTGCCTGGTTTGGAACTTTATGTAAATGACATTATACACTGTGTACTTTTATCCAGATTTTTTTTCACTCAATCTTATGCTTTTAGGATTCTTTTCCATTTTTGTGTTCATTTATTCTTGCTTCTAAATAAGATTCCATTGTATGTGAATATACAGACAATATTTACATATTTATATATGGAATATTTATCCATTGTATTTTTCTTGTTGGTGGTACTGGGATTTGAACTCAGAGTCTCATGCTTGTTAGGCAGGAGCTTTCCCACTTGAGCCACTCCCCCAGCCTTTTATTTCTTTTTTTGCTATTTTTGAGATAGGTCTCAAAAACTATTTGCCTGGAGCTGGTTTTGAACCTTGATCCTCCTGGTCTCTGCCTCCTGAGTAGCTAGGATTACAGGCGTGAGCCACCAGGCATTTTGTTAAAGGCATTTTGGGCAATTTCCAGTTTGGGGCTATTAAAGTGGTGTTGCTATGAACACATTTTTTTGTGAATATATGTACACATTTCTGTTGGGTAAATAAATAGAAGTAGAATCACTCGATGACAGGAAAGACACTTTTGGCTTAAAAAACATTGCCAAACATTTTCTAAAGTGGTTACAAAACAGATTTCTAAAGAAGGTATGCAAAGGGTGTGGACTTCACTGGGGCAAAGGTGAGTCATGAGGAAAGTGCAGTTTAGAGCTCCAGTGTCACACAGCTACAGGCATATCAGAAAGGCATAAATTAAAAGGTTTGGTAATGTCAGCTGGGCACAGAGGTGCACACCTTTAATCCTGTTACTCCAGAGGCTGAGGCAGGAGAATCATGAATTGAAGGCCAATATCACCACATAGCAAATTTCTGTTGCAAAAAAACAATGGAAAGGAAAAAAACAAATGGAAAGGAAAAAAACAATGTTGGCAAGATAGAATTCTCACAATCTTCACACTTTTTTTAAACCCTACACACAATAAAAAATGTATTTATATTGCAATCAACTACAACTCTGAATAAATGTTTTGTGTAACAATACTTAACCTTACTATGTGTTTTGTACTCTGGTATTTTCTATTTTGTTTTTTTTCTTTAGAAAACAAATGCTGGATGTGACTCAATTTATTTCATCACCTAATAGGTCCAAGTTGGAAAAGTCTGTAATTATGTGGTCAATGTCTCAGATCTTTCTTAACTCACACATCAGATCTGTTCATAACATTTATTAAAAAGAAGAGAGCCCCATTGGACATTGGAGGTGGTTCGTGCCTGTAATTCTAGCTACTTGGGAGGCTGAGATTGAGAGGATTGGGTTGTAGGTCAGCCCGGGCAAATAGTTCAAGAAATCCCACTTCCAAAATAACAGAGTAAATGAACTGGAGGTGTGGCCACCTTGCTTTGCACTTGCTTTGCAAGTGTGAAGTCCTGAGTTCAAACCCCAGTCCCACCAAAAACAAACAACCCTGAGAGAACTCAAAACAGGAACAAACATGGGTCTCTGCTTTTGAAGGTGTCACATTTTCATCATCCATAACATTATTTTTTAAATTTAAAAATATTTAATTAATTAATTGATTAGTTAATCAATTTAGGTGGGGTCTCGTTATGTAGCCCAGACTGGCCATGAATTCATGATCCTCCTGCCTCCACCTCCTGTAATCCTTTATAATTTTAACAGAGTGAGGCTAAGGCAGAGGTGTGCACTGGCTGCCCTGGAAGCACAGTGGGAAAGAATAGCTGGGGGGAGGGGAGGATAAAAATTAACTATAGTTGCTGACATTTAATTTAATTTAAGCTTTCATTGGGTGTTAATTTAACTCCTCTTAATCCTCATGACCTCATGCAGTAAATGCTGTTATATGCATTTTTTAAAAAAAGACAAAGACATCAAACTTAAGAGAGAATAAATAATTTTCCCATTGGACTGGAGGTATGACTGAAGCAGTAGAGTGCTTGCCTAGTAAGCGGTGAAGCCCTGAGTTCAAACTCCAGTACTACCATCAATAATAATAATAATAATAGATGATAATTATAATAACAGTTTGCCCAGGGTGACACACACATAGTTAAGGAGGAAATAAAGGCTGGAACTATCTAATTCCTAAACCCATGCTTTTAGTTCCTTATTTGAAGTGAGTCTTAGAGGTGATTCCATTTTTGAGTTGGTTCTGAAGCTGGCTACTTATGTTGGCTTCTCTTGAACTCATGGATTCACTTAAGACTGTGACTGTATCCCCAGATTTCATTCTGGGCAGCTCTGGAAAGTCCCTTCTCTGACAGATACTTCGCATGAGTCCCCATCCTCTGTATCTTGTGCAGTCTACTCACAGGTCAGGGGTGCTGGGTATTTAAATTCTCAAAGTAGACACCCTCTACTCCTAGCTGCACATAGTCTGCCTCTGCAGGTCAGTGGGAGAATTCTCCCACCCTCCCCAGGGCCATTGCCTGGCTGTTGCCAGACTGTAAAAGTCATGGGGATTGCATGGCTGATTCTAGAATAGCAAATGTCTCATGAATGAATATACTGGCCTCACAAAAA